AGAACTTTTTCAGTGTCAGAGTAGTTAGTAAATGGAATGCATTAGGCAGTGATGTGGTGGAGGCTGACTCCATACACAGCTTCAAATGTAGATATGATAGAGCCCAATAGGCTCAGGAATCTGTCCACCAGTTGATTGACGGTTGAGAGGCGGGACCAAAGAGCCAGAGCTCAACCCCCGCAAGCAAGTACAATTAGGTGAGTACACACAGGGAAGTTAAGATGGAGGCCCCCTTGGGAATGAGTGATCACAGTGTATTGATCTTTAAGTGCCTGGTAAAGCTAGGACTTATCTTCCCCCCTAAAAAAGAACCAGGAAACAAAGGGCTGGCGTACCGAAAGGGGAATTATGAAGAGATGAGAAGTTTCCTAAGGGATATTTCATTGGAAATAGAACTCAGAACTAAGACCGTACAAGACATGATATGTCACCCAAAACTGTCAGGAGGCAGTAAACAGGTTTATCCCGGCCCGGCAGGAAAAACCCACAAAGCAAAATAAGAATCCATGGTTTAATAGGGTAAGTATTGAAGCAAAGGAGCTGAACAAAAGGGCGTGGAGGAACTTCCGAAATAACAGAACACCAGAAAAGAGAGAAAGATACCAGAGAACCAGGAACGAGTATGTCAGGGTGAGAAGAGAAGCTCAGGGACAGTATGAAAATGACATAGCTAATAAAGCCAAGACCGAACCTAAGCTGCTCCACTGTCACTGGGGGACAACAACAGTGAAGAAACAGGTGATGAAACTTAGAACGGGTGAGGACAGGTACATAGACAATGATAAGAATGAGGCTACTGTTAGCAAAGTTTCTGTTAGCGAGGCTTCTGTTAGCGAGGGTACTGTTAGCGAGGCTACTAATAGCGAGGCTTCTGTTATCGAGGCTGCTGTTAGCGAGCCCACCGTTATCGAGGCTACTGTTAGCGAAGCTACTGTTAGCGAGGCTACTGTTAGCGAGGCTACTGTTAGCGAGCCTATTGTTATCGAGGCTACTGTTATCGAGGCTACAGTTAGCGAATCTTCTGTTTGCGAGACTACTGTTAGCGAGGCTACTGTTATCGAGGTTACTGTTAGCGAGGCAATTGTTAGCGAGGACCCTGTTAGCGAGGCTACTGTTAGCGAGGCTTCTGTTAGCGCGGCTACTGTTGTCGTGACTACTGTTATCGTAGCTAATGTTATCGTGGCTGCTGTTGTCGTGAATACTGTTATCGTGGCTACTGTTGTCGTGACTACTGTTATCGTGACTACTGTTATCGTGACTACTGTTATCGTGGCTGCTGTTGTCGTGGCTGCTGTTGTCGAGGCTACTGTTATCGTGGCTACTGTTATTGAGGCTACTGATAACGAGGCTTCTGTTAGCGAGGCTACTTGTTAGCGAGGCTACTGTTAGCGAGGTTTCTGTTAGCGAGGCTACTGTTAGCGAGGCTTCTGTTAGCTAGGCTACTGTTAGCGAGGCTACTGTTAGCGAGGCTACTTGCTAGCGAGGCTTCTGTTAGCGAGGCTACTTTTAGCGAGGCTTCTGTTAGCGAGGCTACTGTTAGCGAGGGTTCTGTTAGCGAGGCTACTGTTAGCGAGGCTACTGTTAGCAAAGCTTCTGTTAGCGAGGCTTCTGTTATCGAGGCTACTGGTAGCGAGGCTACTGTTAGCGAGGCTACTGTTAGCAAAGCTCCTGTTAGCGAGGCTTCAGTTAGCGGGGGTAATGTTAGCGAGGCTACTAATAGCGAGGCTTCTGTTATCGAGGCTGTTGTTAGCGAGCCCACTGTTATCGAGGCTACTGTTAGCAAAGCTACTGTTAGCGAGGCTACTGTTAGCGAGGCTACTGTTTGCGAGGCTACTGTTAGCGAGCCTATTGTTATCGAGGCTACTGTTATCGAGGCTACTGTTAGCGAATCTTCTGTTTGCGAGGCTACTGTTAGCGAGGCTACTGTTATCGAGGCTACTGTTAGCGAGGCTACTGTTAGTGAGGCAATTGTTAGCGAAGCTACTGTTATCGAGGCTACTGTTAGCAAGGCTACTGTTAGCGAGGCTACTGTTAGCAAAGCTCCTGTTAGCGAGGCTTCAGTTAGCGGGGGTAATGTTAGCGAGGCTACTAATAGCGAGGCTTCTGTTATCGAGGCTGTTGTTAGCGAGCCCACTGTTATCGTGACTACTGTTATCGTGGCTACTGTTGTCCTGACTACTGTTATCGTGACTACTGTTATCGTGACTACTGTTATCGTGGCTGCTGTTGTCGTGGCTACTGTTGTTGAGGCTACTGTTATCGTGGCTACTGTTATTGAGGCTACTGTTAGCGAGGTTTCTGTTAGCGAGGCTACTGTTAGCGAGGCTTCTGTTAGCTAGCCTACTGTTAGCGAGGCTACTGTAAGCGAGGCTACTTGCTACCGAGGCTTCTGTTAGCGAGGCTACTGTTAGCGAGGCTTCTGTTAGCGAGGCTACTGTTATCGAGGGTTCTGTTAGCGAGGCTACTGTTAGCGAGGCTTCCGTTAGCGAGGCTACTGTTAGCGAGGCTTCAGTTAGCGAGGCTACTGTTAGCGAGGCTATTTGCTAGCGAGGCTACTGTTAGCGAGGCTTCTGTTAGCGAGGCTTCTGTTATCGAGGCTACTGATAGCGAGGATACTGTTAGCGAGGCTACTTGTTAGCGAGGCTACGGTTAGCGAGGCTACTGTCATCGTGACTACTGTTATCGTGACTACTGTTGTCGTGGTTACTGTTGTCGTGACTACTGTTATCGTGGCTACTGTTATCGTGGCAACTGTTGTCGTGAGTACTGTTATCGTGGCTACTGTTATCGAGGCTTCTGTTGTCGTGACTACTGTTATCGTGGCTACTGCTATCGTTGCTACTGTTATCGTGGCTACTGCTATCGTTGCTACTGTTATCGTGGCTACTGTTGTCGAGGCTACTGTTATCGTGGCTACTGTTATTGAGGCTACTGTTAGCGAGGCTTCTCTTATCGAGGCTACTGTTAGCGAGGCTACTGTTAGCAAGGCTACTGTTAGCAAAGCTTCTGTTAGCAAGGCTACTGTTAGCGAGGCTACTGTTAGCGAGGCTACTGTTAGCAAAGCTTCTGTTAGCAAGGCTTCTGTTATCGAGGCTACTGTTAGCGAGGCTACTGTTAGCGAGGCTACTGTTAGCAAAGCTTCTGTTAGCAAGGCTTCTGTTAGCGAGGGTACTGTTCGCGAGGCTACTGTTATCGAGGCTACTGTTAGCGAGGCTACTGTTATCGAGTCTACTGTTAGCGAGGCTACTGTTTGCAAGGCTACTGTTAGCGAGCCTATTGTAATCGAGGCTACTGTTTGCAAGGCTACTGTTAGCGAGCCTATTGTCATCGAGGCTACTGTTATCGAGGCAACTGTTAGCGAATCTTCTGTTTGCGAGGCTACTGTTAGCGAGGCTACTATTATCGAGGCTACTGTTAGCGAGGCTACTGTTAGTGAGGCAATTGTTAGCGAGGCTACTGTTAGCGAGGCTACTGTTAGCGAGGCTACTGTTAGCGAGGCTTCTGTTAGCGAGGCAACTGTTATCGAGGCTACTGTTAGCAAGGCTACTGTTAGCGAGGCTACTGTTGTCGTGACTACTGTTATCGTAGCTATTGTTATCGTGGCTGCTGTTGTCGTGACTACTGTTGTCGGGACTACTGTTATCGTGACTACTGTTATCGTGACTACTGTTCTCGTGACTACTGTTATCGTGACTACTGTTATCGTGGCTACTGTTGTCGTGACTACTATTATCGTGACTACTGTTATCGTGACTACTGTTATCGTGGCTGCTGTTGTCGTGGCTACTGTTGTCGAGGCTACTGTTATCGTGGTACTGTTATTGAGGCTACTGTTAGCGAGGCTTCTGTTAGGAAGGCTACTTGTTAGCGAGGCTACTGTTAGCGAGGCTTCTGTTAGCGAGGCTACTGTTAGCGAGGCTTCTGTTATCGAGGCTTCTGTTGGCGAGGCTTCTGTTATCGAGGCTACTGTTAGCGAGGCTTCTGTTATCGAGGCTGCTGTTAGCGAGGCTACTGTTAGCGAGGCTACTGGTAGCGAGGCTACTGGTAGCGAGGCTATTGTTAGCGAGGCTTCTGTTATCGAGGCTTCTGTTATCAAGGCTACTATTATCGAGGCTACTGTTATCGAGGCAACTGTTAGCGAGGCTACTGTTAGCGAGGCTTCTGTTAGCGAGGCTATTGTTAGCGAGGCTACTGTTAGCGAGGCTACTGTTAGCGAGGCTTCTGTTAGCGAGGCTTCTGTTTGCGAGGCTACTGTTAGCGAGGCTACTGTTATCGAGGTAACTGTTAGCGAGTCTACTGTTAATGAGGCAATTGTTAGCGAGACTACTGTTAGCGAGACTACTGTTAGCGAGGCTACTGTTAGCGAGGCTTCTGTTAGCGAGGCTACTGTTAGCGAGACTTCTGTTAGCGAGGCTACTTGTTAGCGAGGCTACTGTTAGCGAGGCTTCTGTTAGCGAGGCTACTGTTAGCGAGGCTACTGTTAGCGAGGCTACTGCTATCGAGGCTACTGTTAGCGAGGTTACTGTTAGCGAGGCTACTTTTAGCGAGGCTACTGTTAGCGAGGCTACTGTTATCGAGGCTACTGTTATCGAGGCTACTGTTAGCGAGGCTACTGTTTGCGAGGCTACTGTTAGCGAGACTACTGTTAGCGAGGCTATTGTTAGCAAGGCTACTGTTAGCGAGGCTACTGTTAGTGAGGCTACTGTTAGCGAGGCAATTGTTAGCGAGGCTACTGTTAGCGAGGTTACTGCTAGCGAGGCTACTGTTAGCGAGGCAATTGTTAGCGAGGCTACTGTTAGCGAGGCTACTGTAACGAGGCTATTGTATCGAGGCTACTGTTAGCGAGGTTACTGTTAGCGAGGCTACTGTTAGCGAGGCTACTGTTAACGAGGCTACTGTTAGCGAGGCTACTGTTGTCGTGACTACTGTTATCGTGACTACTGTTATCGTGGCTACTGTTAGCGAGGCTATTGTATCGAGGCTAATGTTAGCGAGGTTACTGTTAGCGAGGCTACTGTTGTCGTGACAACAGTTATCGTGGCTACTGTTATCGTGGCTATTGTTATCGTGAATACTGTTATCGTGACTATTGTTATCGTGGCTGCTGTTGTCGTGACTACTGTTATCGTGACTACTGTTATCGTGGCTACTGTTGTCTTGACTACTGTTATCGTGACTACTGTTATCGTGACTACTGTTATCGTGGCTGCTGTTGTCGTGGCTACTGTTATTATGACTTCTGTTATCGAGGCTACTGTTGTCGTGACTGCTGTTGTCGTGGCTACTGTTGTCGTGACTACTGTTGTCGTTGCTACTGTTATTGCCGCTACTGTTGCCGTGACTACTGTTATCGCGGATACTGTTATCGTGGCTACTGTTGTCCTGACTACTGTTATCGTGGCTACTGTTATCGTGGCTTCTGTTTTCGTGACTACTGTTATCGCGGCTCCTGCTATCGTTGCTACTGGTGTCGTGATTACTTTTATAGTGGCTACTGTTCTCGTGGCTACTGTTGTCGTGACTACTGTTGTCGTGGCTATTGTTATCGTGGCTACTGTTGTCGTGACTACTGTTATCGCGGCTGCTGTTATAGTGGCTACCGTTGTCGTGACTACTGTTATCTCGGCTACTATTATCGTAGCTACTGTTGTCTTGGCTACTGTTATCGTGGCTACTGTTGTCGTGACTACTGTTATCGCGACTACTCTTTTCGTGGCTACTGTTGTCATAGCTACTGTTATCGTGGTTACTGTTGTCGTGACTACTGTTGTCGTGGCTACTGTTGTCGTGACTACTGTAATCGTGGCTACTGTTATCGTAGCTACTGTTGTCCTGACTACTGTTATCGTATCTACTGTTGTCATGGCTACTGTTGTCCTGACAACTATATCGTGGCTACTGTTGTCCTGACTACTGTTATCGTGACTACTGTTGTCCTGACTACTGTTATCGTGGCTACTGTTGTCGTGACTACTGTTGTCGTGGCTACTGTTATCGTGGCTACTGTTGTCGTGACTACTGTTATCCTGGCTACTGTTATCCTGGCTACTGTTATCGTGGATACTGTTATCGTGCCTACTGCTGTCGTGACTACTGTTATCGTGGCTACTGTTATCGTTGCTACTGCTTTCATGGCTACTGTTGTCGTGACTACTGTTATCGTGGCTACTGTTATCATGACTACTGTTTTCGTGACTTTTGTTTTCGAGGCTACTGTTATCGTGGCTACTGTTATTGAGGCTACTCTTATCGAGGCTTCTGTTAGCGAGGCTACTTGTTAGCGAGGCTACTGTTAGCGAGGCTTCTGTTAGCGAGGCTACTATTAGCGAGGCTTCTGTTAGCAAGGTTACTGTTAGCGAGGCTACTGTTAGCGAGTCTACTTGCTAGCGAGGCTACTGTTAGCGAGGCTTCTGTTAGCGAGGCTACTGTTAGCGAGGCTTCTGCTAGCGAGGCTACTGTTATCGAGGTTACTGGTAGCGAGGCTACTGCTAGCGAGGCTACTGTTAGCGAGGCTACTGTTAGAGAGGCTACTGTTAGCGAGGCTTCTGTTAGCGAGGATATGTTAGCGAGGCTACTGTTATCGAGGCTACTGTTAGTCAGGCTACTGTTAGCGAGGCTTCTGTTATTGAGGCTACTGTTAGCGACGCTACTGTTAGCGAGGCTTCTGTTAGCGAGGCTTCTGTTAGCGAGGGTACTGTTAGCGAGGATACTGTTGCGAGGCTACTGTTAGCGAGGCTTCTGTTATCGAGGCTACTGTTAGCGAGGCTACTGTTATCGAGGCTACTGTTAGCGAGGCTACTGTTAGCGAGGCTACTGTTAGCGAGGCTACTGTTATCGAGGCTACTTTTAACGAGGCTACTGTTAGCGAGGCTTCTGTTATCGAGGCTACTGTTAGCGAGGCTACTGTAATCGAGGCTACTGTTAGCGAGGCTACTCTTTGTGAGACTACTGTTAGCGAGGCAATTGTTATCGAGGCTACTGTTATCGAGGCAACTGTTATCGAGGCAACTGTTAGCGAAGCTATTGTTATCGAAGCTACTGTTAGCGAGGCTTCTGTTAGCGAGGCTACTGTTAGCGAGGCTATTTGCTAGCGAGGCTACTGTTAGCGAGGCTTCTGTTAGCGAGGCTTCTGTTATCGAGGCTACTGTTAGCGAAGCTACTGTTAGCGAGGCTATTTGTTAGCGAGGCTACTGTTAGCGAGGCTACTGTTAGCAAAACTACTGTTAGCGAGGCTACTGTTAGCGAGGCTACTGTTAGCGAGGCTACTTGCTAGCGAGGCTACTGTTAGCGAGGCTTCTGTTAGCGAGGCTTCTGTTATCGAGGCTACTGTTAGCGAAGCTACTGTTAGCGAGGCTATTTGTTAGCGAGGCTACTGTTAGCGAGGCTACTGTTAGCAAAACTACTGTTAGCGAGGCTACTGTTAGCGAGGCTACTGTTAGCGAGGCTACTTGCTAGCGAGGCTACTGTTAGCAAGGCTTCTGTTAGCGAGGCTTCTGTTATCGAGGCTACTATTAGCGAGGTTAGCGATGTTACTGTTAGCGAGGCTACTGGTTGCAAGGCTTCTGTTAGCGAGGTAACTGTTAGCGAGGCTTCTGTTAGCGAGGCTACTGTTAGCGAGGCTTCTGTTATCGAGGCTACTGTTGGCGAGCCCACTGTTATCGAGGCTGCTGTTAGCGAGGCTACTGTTATCGAGGCTTCTGTTATCGAGGCTTCTGTTGGCGAGGCTTCTGTTATCGATGCTACTGTTAGCGAGGCTTCTGTTATCGTGGCTGCTGTTAGCGAGGCTACTGGTAGCGAGGCTAGTGGTAGCGAGGCTACTGGTAGCGAGGCTACTGGTAGCGAGGCTACTGGTAGCGAGGCTACTGGTAGCGAGGCTACTGGTAGCGAGGCTACTGTTAGCGAGGCTTCTGTTATCGAGGCTTCTGTTACCTAGGCTACTGTTATCGAGGCTTCTGTTAGCGAGGCTATTGTTAGCGAGGCTTCTGTTAGCGAGGCTACTGTTAGCGAGGCTTCTGTTATCGAGGCTACTGTTGGCGAGCCCACTGTTATCGAGGCTGCTGTTAGCGAGGCTACTGTTATCGAGGCTTCTGTTATCGAGGCTTCTGTTGGCGAGGCTTCTGTTATCGATGCTACTGTTAGCGAGGCTTCTGTTATCGTGGCTGCTGTTAGCGAGGCTACTGGTAGCGAGGCTAGTGGTAGCGAGGCTACTGGTAGCGAGGCTACTGGTAGCGAGGCTACTGGTAGCGAGGCTACTGGTAGCGAGGCTACTGGTAGCGAGGCTACTGTTAGCGAGGCTTCTGTTATCGAGGCTTCTGTTACCTAGGCTACTGTTATCGAGGCTTCTGTTAGCGAGGCTATTGTTAGCGAGGCTACTGTTAGCGAGGCTACTGTTAGCGAGGCTTCTGTTAGCGAGGCTTCTGTTTGCGAGGCTACTTATAGCGAGGCTACTGTTATCGAGGTTACTGTTAGCGAGGCTACTGTTGGTGAGGCAATTGTTAGCGAGGCTACTGTAAGCGAGACTACTGTTAGCGAGGCTACTGTTAGCGAGGCTTCTGTTAGCGAGGCTTCTGTTAGCGAGACTTCTGTTAGCGAGGTTACTGTTATCGAGGCTACTTTTAGCGAGGCTACTGTTAGCGAGGCTACTGCTTGCGAGGCTACTGTTAGCGAGGATACTGTTTGAGAGGCTACCGTTGTCGTGACTACTGTTATCGCGGCTTCTATTATCGTGGCTACTGTTGTCTTGGCTACTGTTATCGTGGCTACTGTTGTCGTGACTACTGTTATCGCGACTACTTTTGTCGTGGCTACTGTTGTCATTGCTACTGTTATCGTGGTTACTGTTGTCGTGACTACTGTTGTCGTGGCTACTGTTGTCGTGACTACTTTAATCGTGGCTACTGTTATCGTAGCTACTGTTGTCCTGACTACTGTTATCGTATCTACTGTTGTCGTGGCTACTGTGGTCCTGACTACTGTATCGTGGCTACTGTTGTCCTGACTACTGTTATCGTGACTACTGTTGTCCTGACTACTGTTATCGTGGCTACTGTTATCGTGGCTACTGATATCATGACTACTGTTATCGTGACTACTGTTGTCCTGACTACTGTTATCGTGGCTACTGTTGTCGTGACTACTGTTGTCGTGGCTTCTGTTATCGTGCCTACTGCTGTCGTGACTACTGTTATCGTGACTACTGGTATCGTGACTTTTGTTTTCGAGGCTACTGTTATCGTGGCTACTGTTGTCGAGGCTACTGTTGTCGTGGCTACTGTTATTGAGGCTACTCTTATCGAGGCTTCTGTTAGCGAGGCTTCTTGTCAGCGAGGCTACTGTTAGCGAGGCTTCTGTTAGCGAGGCTACTATTAGCGAGGCTTCTGTTAGCAAGGTTACCGCTAGCGGGGCTACTGTTAGCGAGGCTATTGTTAGCGAGGCTACTTGCTAGCGAGGCTACTGTTAGCGAGGCTTCTGTTAGCGAGGCTACTGTTAGCGAGGCTTCTGCTAGCGAGGCTACTGTTAGCGAGGCTTCTGTTAGCGAGGCTACTGTTAGCGAGGCTTCTGTTAGCGAGGCTACTGTTAGCGAGGCTTCTGTTAGCGAGGCTACTGTTAGCGAGGCTACTGTTATCGAGGCTACTGTTAGCGAGGCTACTGCTAGCGAGGCTACTGTTAGCGAGGCTACTGTCAGAGAGGCTACTATTAGCGATCCTTGTGCTAGCGAGGCTACTGTTAGCGAGGCTACTGTTATCGAGGCTACTGTTAGTGAGGCTACTGATAGCGAGGCTTCTGTTATTGAGGCTACTGTTTGCGAGGCTACTGTTAGCGAGGCTACTCTTTGTGAGACTACTGTTAGCGAGGCAAATGTTATCGAGGCTACTGTTATCGAGGCTACTGTTATCGAGGTTACTGTTAGCGAGGCTACTGTTGGTGAGGCAATTGTTAGCGAGGCTATTGTTAGCAAGGCTACTGTTAGCGAGGCTACTGTAAGCGAGGCTACTGTTAGCGAGGGTACTGTTAGCGAGGCTACTGTTAGCGAGGCTACTGTTAGCGAAGCTATTGTTAGCAAGGCTACTGTTAGTGAGGCTACTGTTAGCGAGGCTACTGTTAGCGAGGCAATTGTTAGCGAGGCTACTGTTAGCGAGGCTACTGTTAGCGAGGCTTCTGTTAGCGAGGCTACTGTTAGCGAGACTTCTGTTAGCGAGGTTACTGTTAGTGAGGCTACTTTTAGCGAGGCTACTGTTAGCGAGGCTACTGTTATCGAGGCTACTGCTATCGAGGCTACTGTTAGCGAGGCTACTGTTAGCGAGGCTACTGTTAGCGAGGCTACTGTAAGCGAGGCTATTGTTAGCAAGGCTACTGTTAGCGAGGCTACTGTTAGCGAGGCTACTGTTAGCGAGGCTACTGTTAGCGAGGCTACTGTTAGCGAGGCTATTGTTAGCGAGGCTACTGTTAGCGAGGCTACTGTTAGCGAGGCTTCTGTTAGCGAGGCTACTGTTAGCGAGGCTACTGTTATCGAGGCTACTGTTAGCGAGGTTACTGTTAGCGAGGCTAATTTTAGCGAGGCTACTGTTAGCGAGGCTACTGTTAGCGAGGCTACTGTTATCGAGGCTACTGTTAGCGAGGCAATTGTTAGCGAGGCTACTGTTAGCGAGGCTACTGTTAGCGAGGCTTCTGTTATCGAGGCAATTGTTAGCGAGGCTACTGTTAGCGAGGCTACTGTTAGCGAGGCTACTGTTAGCGAGGCAATTGTTAGCGAGGCTACTGTTAGCGAGGCTATTGTTAGCGAAACTATTGTTATCGAGCCTACTGTTGTCGTGACTACTGTTATCGTGACTACTGTTATCGAGGCTACCGTTGTCGTGACTACAGTTATCGTGGCTACTGTTATCGTGGCTACTGTTGTCGTGACTACGGTTATCGTGACTACTGTTATCGTGGCTACTGTTATCGTGGCTATTGTTATCGTGACTACTGTTATCGTTACTACTGTTATCGTGACTACTGTTATCGTGACTACTGTTGTCGTGACTACTGTTATCGTGGCTACTGTTGTCGTGGCTACTGTTATCGTGACTATTGTTATCGTGACTACTGTTATCGTGACTACTGTTATCGTGACTACCGTTATCGTGGCTACTGTTGTCGTGACTACTGTTATCGTGGCTGCTGTTTTCGTGGCTACTGTTATCGTGGCTAATGTTGTCGTGACATCTGTTATCGTGGCTACTGTTATCGTGGCTACTGTTGTCGTGACTACTGTTGTCGTAACTACTGTTGTCGTGACTACTGTTATCGTGACTACTGTTATCGTGGCTACTGTTATCCTGACTACTGTTATCGTGACTACTGTTATCGTGGCTACTGTTGTCCTGACAACTGTTATAGTGACTACTGTTGTCGTGACTACTGTTGTCGTGGCTACTGTTATCGTGACTACTGTTGTCGTGGCTACTGTTGTCCTGACTACTGTTGTCGTGGCTACTGTTGTCCTGACTACTGTTTTCGTGACTACTGTTATCGTGGCTACTGTTGTCCTGACTACTGTTATCGTGACTACTGTTGTCGTGACTACTGTTGTCGTGACTACTGTTATCGTGGCTACTGTTGTCCTGACTACTGTTATCGTGACTACTGTTATCGAGGCTACTGTAATCGTGGCTACTGTTGTCCTGACTACTGTTATCGTGACTACTGTTATCGTGGCTACTGTTATCCTGACTACTGTTATCGTGACTACTGGTATCGAGGCTACTGTAATCGTAACTACTGTTGTCCTGACTACTGTTATCGTGACTACTGTTGTCGTGACTACTGTTATCGTGACTACTGTTTTCAAGGCTACTGTAAACGTGGCTACTGTTTTCCTGACTACTGTTATCGAGGCTACTGTAATCGTGGCTACTGTTGTCTTGACTACTGTTATCGTGACTACTGTTGTCCTGACTACTGTTATCGTGACTACTGTTATCGTGACTACTGTTATCGTGGCTACTGTTGTCCTGACTACTGTTATCGTGACTACTGTTATCGAGGCTACTGTTATCGAGGCTACTGTTATCGAGGCTACTGTTAGCGAGGCTACTGTTATCGAGGCTACTGTTATCGAGGCTACTGTTAGCGAGGCTACTGTTATCGAGGCTACTGTTATCGAGGCTACTGTTATCGAGGCTACTTTTGTAATGACTACTGTTATCGAGGCTACTGTTATCGAGGCTACTGTTATTGAGGCTACTGTTAGCGAGGCTACTGTTATCGAGGCTACTGTTATCGAGGCTACTGTTATCGAGGCTACTGTTAGCGAGGCTACTGTTAGCGAGGCTATTGATATCCTGGCTACATGGTGTATAGAGTGACGAGCTACAGCACCAAGCTTTACAGGGATGGGAAATTGGGATCACATTTATTTACTTGAGTTTTAAATAGCGTAAAAATGTTCATAAAATCTTTCCAGTGTCCTCCAGCCTTCCCCTCCCCCCCCCCACGCCCACCCTCTCCCACCCCTCCCCCCACTCTTCCTCCCCTCCCATCCCCCAACCCCACCCCTACTGCCCTCCCTTCCCATCCCCCATCCCCCCTCCCCCCCCCCTTCTTCACTTCTCCAGATGTCCTCAATGGGAATATTATGGTAATTCTCCTGATAGTATCCAGGCGTTCCATGAGGTTTGTGGGGGGGAGGACATTTGTGGGAGGGGGAGGACATTTTTGGGAGGGGGAGGACGTTTGTGGGATGGGGGAGGACATTTGTGGGAGGGGGAGGACATTTGTGGGAGGGGGAGGACATTTGTGGGAGGGGGAGGACATTTGTGGGAGGGGGAGGACATTTGTGGGAGGGGGAGGACATTTGTGGGGGGAGGAGGACATTTGTGGGAGGGGGATGACATTTGTGGGAGGGGGAGGACATTTGTGGGAGAGGGAGGACATTTGTGGGAGGGGGAGGACATTTGTGGGAGGGGGAGGACATTTGTGGGAGGAGGAGGACATTTGTGGGAGGGGGAGGACATTTGTCGGAGGGGGAGGACATTTGTGGGAGGGGGAGGACATTTGTGGGAGGGGGAGGACATTTGTGGGAGCATGTATATAATACATGTGTTACACAACGTATGCGCCTATAACCTGCCTGGGCTTATAAAAGCATCTTAATCACCTTCAGTGGTTCAGTGTTTTATATAGTTCCTATAGCAGCTTTCTTACCCTGTCAGAGTAGGAGAGACGTAGGTACTCTCCTAGTTATACTCACCTAGTTGTGCTTGCGGGGGTTGAGCTCTGGCTCTTTGGTCCCGCCACTCAACTGTCAATCAACTGGTGTTCAGATTCCTGAGCCTATTGGGCTCTATCATATATACATTTGAAACTGTGTATAAAGTCAGCCTCCACCACATCACTGCCTAATGCATTCCACCTGTTAACTACTCTGACACTGAAAAAGTTCTTTCTAACGTCTCTGTGGCTTATGTGGGTACTCAGTTTCCACCTGTGTCCCCTTGTTCGCGTCCCACCAGTGTTAAACAGTATATCTTTATCTACCTTGTCAATTCCTCTGAGAATTTTGTAGATAGTGATCATGTCTTCCCTTACTCATCTGTCTTCCAGTGTCGTGAGGTGCATTTCACGCAGCCTTTCTTTGTAAGTATATACGAGGAAAGGTGTCTTTCCTAGGTATATATATATATATATATATATATATATATATATATATATATATATATATATATATACACATATGTGACTGGATATGTGTATATATGTATATGTGTGTATGTGTATACAGGGTATATGGAAGCTGGTCAGTATTGCATTTCACCTTTGTAAACGCACATTAATGACACTGGTAAACAGACACCTCGAACACTGTTTATGTAGGAGAGACGTAAGTCTGTGAACATCTGTCTGTAGCTTAACACGGCATTTTAGAAGCGCTACAATCACCTTATATGGTTGATTGTTCAGTAAATCACTCAACTATATGTTATAACACATCTCTAACGCCGAAGAAAATGTATATATCCTCTTTAGCACCGTAAATGTCTGGCCACGTCTGTGGTAGAAATAAAATAGTTGTGGAAGGGAAGAACATTTTTAGAGGGGTGGTGGACGGGAGGGAAGGCTTGGGCTAGGGACGGGAGGGAAGATAGGGGCTAGAGACGGGAGGGAAGATAGGGGCTAGGGACGGGAGAGAAGGTTGGGGCTAGGGACGAGAGGGAAGGTTGGGGCTAAGGACGGGAGGGAAGGTTGGGGCTAGGGACGGGAGGGAACGTCGGGGCTAGAGACGGGATGGAAGGTTGGGGCTAGGGACGGGAGGGAAGATAGGGGCTAGGGACGTGAAGGAACGTTGGGGCTAGGGACGGGAGGGATGGTTAAGGGCTAGGGACGGGAGGGAAGATAGGGGCTAGGGACGGGAGGGAAGGTTGAGGCTAGGGACGGGAGGGAAGATAGGGGCTAGGGACGGGAGGGAAGGTTGAGGCTAGGGACGGGAGGGAAGGTCTAGGGCTTGGGACGGGAGGGAACGTCGGGGCTAGGGACGGGAGGGAAGGATGGGGCTAGGGACGAGAAGGAAGGTTGGGGCTAGGGACGGGAGGGAAGGTTGGGGCTAGGGACGGGAGGGAACGTCGGGGCTAGAGACGGGATGGAAGGTTGGGGCTAGGGACGGGAGGGAAGATAGGGGCTAGAGACGGGATGGAAGGTTGGGGCTAGGGACGGGAGGGAAGATAGGGGCTAGAGACGGGAGGGAAGGTTCAGGCTAGGGACGGGAGGGAAGGTTGGGGCTAGGGACGGGATGGAAGGTTGGGGCTAGGGACGGGAGGGAAGGTTAAGGGCTAGGGACGGGAGGGAACGTCTGGGCTAGGGACGGGAGGGAAGGTTGGGGCTAGGGACGTGAAGGAAGGTTGGGGCTAGGGACGGGAGGGAAGGATGGGGCTAGGGACGTGAAGGAAGGTTGGGGCTAGGGACGGGAGGGAAGGTTAAGGGCTAGGGACGGGAGGGAACGTCGGGGCTAGGGACGGGAGGGAAGGTTGGGGCTAGGGACGAGAGGGAAGGTCGGGGCTAGGGATGGGAGGGAAGGTTGGGGCTAGGGACGAGAGGGAAGGTCGGGGCTAGGGATGAGAGGGAAGGTTGGGGCTAGGGACGGGAGGGAAGGTTGGGGCTAGGGACGGGAGGGAAGGTCGGGGCTAGGGACGAGAGGGAAGGTTGGGGCTAGGGACGAGAGGGAAGGTCGGGGCTAGGGATGGGAGGGAAGGTTGGGGCTAGGGACGGGAGGGAAGGTCAAGGGCTAGGGACGGGAGGGAAGGTTGGGGCTAGGGACGAGAGGGAAGGTTGGGGCTAGGGACGGGAGGGAAGGTTGGGGCTAGGGACGGGAGGGAAGGTTGGGGCTAGTGACGGGAAGGAAGGTTGGGGCTAGGGACGGGAGGGAAGGTTGGGGCTAGGGACGGGAGGGAAGGTTGGGGCTAGGGACGGGAGGGAAGGTTGGGGCTAGGGACGAGAGGGAAGGTTGGGGCTAGGGACGGGAGGCAAGGTTGGGGCTAGTGACGGGAAGGAAGGTTGGGGCTAGGGACGGGAGGGAAGGTTGGGGCTAGGGACGGGAGGGAAGGTTGGGGCTAGGGACGGGAGGGAAGGTTGGGGCTAGGGACGGGAGGGAAGGTTGGGGCTAGTGACGAGAGGGAAGGTTGGGGCTAGGGACGGGAGGGAAGGTTGGGGCTAGGGACGGGAGGGAAGGTTGGGGCTAGGGATGGGAGGGAAGGTTGGGGCTAGGGACGAGAGGGAAGGTTGGGGCTAGGGACGGGAGGCAAGGTTGGGGCTAGTGACGGGAAGGAAGGTTGGGGCTAGGGACGGGAGGGAAGGTTGGGGCTAGGGACGGGAGGGAAGGTTGGGGCTAGGGACGGGAGGGAAGGTTGGGGCTAGGGACGGGAGGGAAGGTTGGGGCTAGTGACGAGAGGGAAGGTTGGGGCTAGGGACGGGAGGGAAGGTTGGGGCTAGGGACGAGAGGGAAGGTTGGGGCTAGTGACGAGAGGGAAGGTTGGGGCTAGGGACGAGAGGGAAGGTTGGGGCTAGTGACGAGAGGGAAGGTTGGGGCTAGGGACGGGAGGGAAGGTCGTGGGGTGGGGGGAAGGGTGCGGGGGGGGGGGGGGGAAAGCGTTAGGGGGGGGGGCGATATTATTAACAGTAGAATTATGCAAAAGTTGGAATAATAAATTTATGATAATGTGGAAGGGTCTGAGGGAGGGGGCGGGGGGGGGTGGTGCACAGTGAAGGAGCACAGTGAAGGAGCACAGTGAAGGAGCACAGTGAAGGAGTACAGTGAAGGAGCACAGTGAAGGAGTACAGTGAAGGAGCACAGTGAAGGAGCACAGTGAAGGAGCACAGTGAAGGAGCACAGTGAAGGAGCAGAGTGAAGGAGCACAGTGAAGGAGCACAGTGAAGGAGCACAGTGAAGGAGCACAGTGAAGGAGCACAGTGAAGGAGCACAGTGAAGGAGCACAGTGAAGGAGCACAGTGAAGGAGCACAGTGAAGGAGCACAGTGAAGGAGCACAGTGAAGGAGCACAGTGAAGGAGCACAGTGATGGAGCACAGTGAAGGAGCACAGTGAAGGAGCACAGTGAAGGAGCACAGTGATGGAGCACAGTGAAGGAGCACAGTGAAGGAGCACAGTGATGGAGCACAGTGATGGAGCACAGTGAAGGAGCACAGTGAAGGAGCACAGTGAAGGAGCACAGTGAAGGAGCACAGTGATGGAGCACAGTGAAGGAGCACAGTGAAGGAGCACAGTGAAGGAACACAGTGAAGGAGCACAGTGAAGGACCACAGTGAAGGACCACAGTGAAGGAGCACAGTGAAGGAGCACAGTGAAGGAGCACAGTGAAGGAGCACAGTGAAGGAGCACAGTGAAGGACCACAGTGAAGGAGCACAGTGAAGGAGCACAGTGATGGAGCACAGTGAAGGAGTACAGTGAAGGAGCACAGTGAAGGACCACAGTGTAAGAGCCACAGTGTGAGCAGGGACAGTGTAGGAGCCACAGTGTGAGCAGGGACAGTGTAAGAGCCACAGTGTGAGCAGGGACAGTGTAAGAGCCACAGTGTGAGCAGAGACAGTGTAAGAGCCACAGTGTGAGCAGGGACAGTGTAAGAGCCACAGTGTTAGCAGAGACAGTGTAAGAGCCACAGTGTGAGCAGAGACAGTGTAAGAGCCACAGTGTGAGCAGGGACAGTGTAAGAGCCACAGTGTGAGCAGAGACAGTGTAAGAGCCACTGTGTGAGCAGGGACAGTGTAAGAGCCACAGTGTTAGCAGAGACAGTGTAAGAGCCACAGTGTGAGGAGGGACAGTGTAAGAGCCACAGTGTTAGCTGAGACAGTGTAAGAGCCACA